GCATTAGCCAGGAAGCTGTTGCCATCTGTCCTGAGAGACTGTGTACCACAGACATTCTTGTAATTAAGAAAACGTGGCCTTATTTTCCTTACTATTATACTATCAGAATTCCACTGACACTGCAGAAGTTGCTACTTTTTTACACTGGTGTCAGTGAGAAAACTGTGAGGTTTGTGCCCTATGCGGCCACCCCTGCCCAGCCTGTCTGTGTTGGCCCTGGGGCAGGAGTTCCTAGATCTGGCAGGTGTCACTGAAGTCATTCTTTCTTTGTACCCTCTCATTAGGCTGAAACTGTTTCCCTAAGCGTGGCCTGAATTTCCAGAAGAAAAATCTAAGCTTGTTTCTACCAGGCATAATGCTGTTCTCCTGCTCCTGGGGTGGCTGCAATCGGGCTGGCAGAATGGACTCTGCCCTGTGTCGTTTTGATCTGAGTCAAACAGAGTGTGGTTGGTGTAGTGCTAATATCCTGGGGCCTAACCCTTCCCTATGCATTTTACTGGAGAGAGGTAGTTTGGGTCTGTTTTGTTTTGAACTGTGTGCGGAGTCTTGAAAACATTTTGATGAATGTACAATTCTATAGCAAATTTAAACCTGCTGATAGTAGGCTTGCTTTTTTTTTAGCTGCCTTTCACAGAGCTGCTCGAAGTGTCCCATTGGCCCTGCAGGGTTCTGTATGCCAGGAGTTGCAGAGTGCCGGGCAGATGGATGTGTGGATGGATCTGCAGCAGATGGCCAAAAATTCACAGCATTCTCATTCCACTGCTGTTGATCAGATAAAAGTTTTCAGAAACCATTAGAAAGAATACACGGAATATTGGTTTTTCCTTGTTATTCTTGCTGGAACTTGCTTTGGTAGGTTCTGACAGGCTTGTTGTTAGATCTGGGCTGTATGAAAGTGTGGGAGGAGAAGCAAAGGTAAATATCCTGTTAGTTAGAAAACACACTTTCATTTCTGTTGCAAAGAAAGTTTAAATACCTGATGTTTTCATTAATGTTTTATGTCTGAAGACTGAAATGAATTTCAAAATAAGCTTGCAGTTTATATGTGTATTTATGCAAGAGTAGGTTACTGGTGTTATAGAGAATGTCTGGTGCCTAAAGATCACTTAGTGTAGCAGTTGTGAATACAGGGTGACCAGTAATGTATGCTTGCTTCCTCCTTTTGATGACAATAAAAAGTTAACCTGATAATTATTTATGGGCTGTCAAAATGCAGTCAGTAAACTCTAGTTCTCTGTGTTAGAAAAACTCTCTTCAGGAATGTGTTCATCTTAAACAATGTGATAATAACCAAACCCTCAAGAAAGACACAGAGTTTGCCATGGTCTCTCTCTCTTTTTTTTTCTTCCTTTCCCTTAAAATCGCTTTAATACAGCAGGCAGAACTTGGCAGTCTGTGCAGGTAACTCCTCCCCACAGTTTAATGTTAAATGGACTTGTAATAGGGGAAACACTTGCAATGTCTTTGCAGTAATAGTGCAGTGTGGCAGGTCATACTGAGGTATTTCCCAGCATGAGTAATTAGATGCAAATCAGCCGGGTGACGGTGAGCTGTGTACGTCTTGTGAGGTCAGAACATCAGACTGCATTCAGGTACCCACTGGATGAAGGCCCAGATCAGTTCTTCATTCATTCTTAATGTGTTGATCAGCAGTTACAGGCCATCAGAAATAGTTTGTTGGTTTTTTTACATGACTGATGTCAGGTCAAATACAGTTACTTAATTTATAAAAGGTGTAACTGTATTGTAAGTGTCCATTGTAGCAGGAAGTGGATTTTAATTTCTTTTGTTTACATTTCTAATGCGTATGTTACATATTCCTTGGATTATTCCTGTGGTGCTAAATGCCTTCCAGATAAGAAAGAAAAGTTTCACTGTGACATGGAGCTGACTGGACACGTTTGCTGTCACTGACGTACCTGCTGGCCTCCCTGCAGCCTGATGCAGTGATCAGGTCCTTGCTGCTGGTGTTCACCTGTTGTGTGCTCCTGAGCATGAGGGGCTGACATACCCAAGCTGTGTGTGACAGAATGAGCTCCTGTGCAGGGTGATTCCAGGGCAGGCTACCAGGGCAAGTTACTCCCCCATGCCACAATCCCTGTTTCTTTTTTAATATGAAAATTCCAGGTTAGCCAGCATAAACAAGAAGATGTTTATGTAGGTCAGAACAAGGAATTGAAAACATTCACCATGTGGAAGGGGAGCTGAGACTCTGTGCTCAGATAGCATGGCTGTTAGATGATCTGGATGAAGGGATAGAGTCCGTCCTCAGCAAGTTTGCTGATGAAGCAAAGTGGGGAGGAGTATACGTCTGGCTGATGTACCAGAAGGCTGTGCTGCTATTCAGCATGGCCTGAACAGGCTGGTGAGTTGGGCAGAGATCTGATGATCTTCAACAGGAGCAAACGTAGGGTCTTGTGCCTGGGGAGGAATTACTGCATGCAGCTGTACAGGTTAGAGGCTGACCTGCTGGAAAGGAGCTCTTCATAGAAGGACCTGGGGGTCCTGCTGGGCAACAGGTTGGCCATGAGCCAGCAGTGTGCCCTGGTGGTCAAGAAGGCTAATGGTATTCTGGGATGCATTAAAGAGTGTGGCCAGCAGGTCGAGGGAGGTGATCCTCTCCCTCTGTTCTGCCCTGGTGAGGATACACACTGTATTGTGTTCAGTTCTGGGCTTCTCAGTTCAAGAAGAGGAGAGGGAACTTCCAGATAGAATCCAATGGAGGGCCACCAGGATGATGAGGGGGGCAGAACATATCCCTTATGAGGAAAGGCTCAGAGACCTGGAACCGGTCAGCCTGGAGGAGAGAAGGCTGGGATTTCATCACTGTTTATAAACATCAAAAGTGTGGGAATCAAATGGATGGGAACAGGCAGGACAAAAACTGCAACACAAGAAGTTCCATACAAATAATGTACACAGAAACACATAAGCGTTTCTCGAGTAATGAATAGTGTTCATATAGCAATTACTGATTTTTCATTTTGTTGCTCAGTGATGACTCTGAAAGCAGTCTTAAGTAACTGAGTGCATTAATTAACACACTTGTCCTCCAGCCAGAAGTCAGTGTTGGAGGCCTGTGCTGCATCTTACTGGCTTCCTTTCTGTACTGCAGAAACTGGACCCTCAGGTGAGGTGCCTCCAGTGTCCTACTGGCACGGTGTGCCTCCAAGATGCTACCAGTTCCTTCTTTGGCAGTTCTGCAGCAATGGTTTTATTTTGCGCTTTATTTCTGGGATAACTTCCATTGGAGTGAGAGAGCTTTCTGCTTAGCTCTGCATTTTGTTTGTCTGCAAAAGTGTGCAGTACAGGGCTAAGCCCACAGCTGTAATCTGTATGCGTTGGTCTAGCTTTCAGCCAGGACTGACCTTAAGGTGACTTGTCAAACTCATTCCTCTGTTGGTGGGGGTTGGCTTTTCTTGTGATCCTTTCACTCCTTTGCTTTGGAAAACAAAACACCAGGGGAAAAAAAAATACAAAGGTGTGTCTCACAGGGTCTAGGCAGAAAACCCTGACAGTCAGTGCTCGAGGCTGTCCCAGCTTGCTGTTGTACCTCACCTGTCAGGTCTAAAACTTTAGTTTGAAAACTGAGCATCTGTATTGCAGTTTTTTCATGCTTTTAATGCATTACGTTACAGTCAGTTAAAATACCACTGTCAGGCATGAGTCTTTTGTCAGTTTTGTTTTGAGCTGGCAAACCTGTGTTATAATTCTAGTAAGATTATGAACCAATGCAGTGAAGGTCAGCTGTTATCTTGGGGAGGGGAGTCTTTCAAACACTTTTGAAGTCTGTGTGAATGTGTATCCTTGCATGCATGGTAAATGTGTAGGGAAAAGATGTGGGTTTGCTGGTAGGTAGAGATCTGTCAGAACTTAGGCCAGCAGATTGTAAGGGTAATCACTGCTTCTGGAAATGAAATGCTTCTCTCCCTAAAGTGTCTGCTGTCAGGAGCTTTAGCTATAGCTGTGGTTAAAACACATAATTGCAGTGTGATGGGTGAGTTTTTCAAGCCAGTTTTGTTATTTTTTTCCTCACCAAAGCAATTGAGATACACAGGCACTCCTTTAATCTTGATTTTTCTATCCTGTGTGATCTACCTGTAAAGTTGGTAGGCTGTAATGTTAACCCATGTGACTTCTTATTAGATTCCTAAAACATCCCAAGCTGTTTCACTTGGTAGCATGCTGTGTGTTAATGGCAGAAATAGAAGAACATACCTGATTAATCACCCTGTTCATTAACAGCCTTAACCTTAGGCCATGAGAAACTCAATGTCCTGTGAATTTGGCCCTCCTGAAATAACAGCAGAAAGCAAGTTGTCATCCTCGTTACTGTCTGGATAGGGCAGCAGCATGGCTGTGGAGCTTGGTGCTTCTGAAATACAGCTGTTCCCTCTCCTGGACAGAACTGAGTAAATGCTTGGAGAGAAGCTTGAGGTTCTGGATGCTTTTGTGATCTCACTGTGTTTCCTATAAAATTCATCCATTTTGTCTAATCAATAGTATGTTTTAGGGTTGTTGTTGTTTTTTTGTTTTTGTTTTTTTTAACAGTTGAATGCAAAAATAGCTTCAGTGTGACCTTTTTGGCAGAAAATGTAACTAGAGGTGAGCATCACCTTCCTCTCTCTGAATTGAGATGGCAACGAGCACTGTTTTTTGGAAAGAGATGAAACCAATCCTTATGCATTAAGGGGGCAGGCAGCTGAGCCTTCTGTGGGTGCGTGCAATTCAGTGTATTTAGTAGCTGAGCCCATTTTTGTGGAAGGTGGGTCCTGACACATCGGTTGTGGCGTTTGAGTGTTTCGAATGCTGTGCAAACACTTCTTGAGGAGTGTCCCTAGAAGAAGTGGCTGGGTGTGTGAATGGCACTTGCAAAGCCTCCAGGAGTTCCAGAGGGGGGCGAAGCAAACGAAATTAAGGGATGGAGTGAAGTGGAGCAGCAGACTCTAAGGGGCCATGAAGCCAGTGGAGGAGGGAAGAGCGCAGTCCAGGCAAGACTGTTCTATAAAAATCTTTGCATGGTTGCTGCTTCAGGAGTTGCTACCACTACTGCTCAGCAGTTTGTGCAGATTGAGCCCCCAGGCTCTCTTTTCTTCCTTGGGCCTGACCCAGCAGAAGGGGCTCTGCTCTGTTCTTTTTCCCCATGGTGGTTCCCACGTGTTTCTGCAGCCGCTCCTGTTGGCACCACCTGGCCACTGTGCTCTGCATCAGAGCGCTCGCTGCCTTTCCTCAGTGGGGGTGGCTGGAGTCAGCGTGTGGTTAAGCAAGTCTTAAAAGCACTTAGAGAGTCTTCTTGGGTAAGAGGTGTTCTGATAAGTACGAAAGTCTGGCTTCCAAAGCCATTATTTTTTGTTTGGTTCATCTTTTTCACTGTTCCTACTCACGCCATCCCATCTCGCTGTGTGAAAAGATCTCAGAGGGCCTTGTGAGGCAGTGAGTGCTGTTTCCGATTCTCTTTCAGATGCAAGTATGGACATAATAGCCTATGATGATTTCTTCAGTCCACCGCTTCAGAGATATTGAAAGGACACCTGAATACCTCCAGCCGGAGAAGTGTGTTCCACCTCCTAGCCGCGCTTCCTTGGGAACGATGTGGTTTATTCGAGATGGCTGTGGTATCGCGTGTGCCGTTGTCACCTGGATGCTGGTGTTCTACGCTGACTTTGTAGTCCTTCTTGTCATGCTGGTTCCCTCAAGAGATTACGTTTATAGTGTCATCAATGGCACGCTGTTCAACACCTTGGCGTTCCTCGCTTTGGCTTCACATTTTCGTGCTATGCTGACAGATCCAGTAAGTATCTCTCTCTGCATGTCTCGGGAAGAACAAGCCAATGTTTTTCTTATCTGATCAGTGTTGAGTAACTCGGTTGCTGAGTGAGTGGCAGATTTAAATAACTTCTGCGTGTCAGCCTGCTGAGAGAAGCTGCTGATGTGGGAGGCTAATTCCTCATCCCACTCAAGTCAAATGCAAACTTGAGGACCCAACTGTAGATTCTCCTTGTCAGAGCAGCTTCTCTTTCTGCACTGAAGAGGAGAGCGTTTCTCCCCGAGACTTTTCTCACAAATCCTGAATCTCATGTTTGTGGCTTGTCATGTCTTGACAAAACAGCAAAGCAGGAAAAGCTGGTTCTGGTTATCTGCCTTGGCAAGCACTACTTCAGCAGAATGGAACAGAACGTGCATAGTTTTAATGCAGCCATCTTTCACACTAGTGTTTTAATGAAATTTGTTGGACCATGCAAAAACAAATATTATATAAGCATGCTACCAGCTGAAAGTTCTTGGGCAGACAGGAAGCGTATAGATTGTGGCACTCCCTTACCTCTGTTTGTAGGACACTGCTTCTCTAATAAGAGATGGATTAATATTGCGGAGGTTATTCAGAATGGCTTGTGCTTATTTTGCTTATCAGCCTCTGAAAAGTACATTCAGTTCAAAGCCCCATTCACACTAGACTGTGGAACAAAAAACAAGCTTAGGTTCCTTCTCTCCTTCCTCCTGAGTCTTTTTGTTCCTGCTGGGAATGGCAATGCATCCCTGATACACAAATTATTCCCTCCAAATGTCATTTCCTACTTGAAACCTTGTTATGTGCTGTTAAAACTTCAGTGTAATTTTTATTGCTTGATTTTTCAGCTCTTCCAGAAGCTGCAGAGCTGCAAAAATTGCTTGGTTTGGGGTAGTTTTGCAGTTTGTGGTAAAGCAAAGAGTGATTCAGTGCTACTGATTCTGGGCAGAACTTAGAGCAGTAGTTGAGTTGCTGAAACTTCTGGTCATTGGGCTCACAAATACAAGGTTGTAGCAATTTGTTACATAAGTCTTATTGTTGTTGTTAATTATTATATGTTGTGTGGCTTTAATATCGAGGACATTCAGGTCTCTGGTGTTATTTTACAGAGCTAGTGGTCACTCTTGAAACAAAAGCTGCATTTTAAAGCGGGCTGAGAAAGCACAGTTTCAGAGAAACAGATAAAATCTACAGAGGAATCTGGAAAAGGTATCTTAATTCCCACTGTGTGGTTGGTGGGATTTTTGTGAGTGGATGGAGGGAACCAGTGAGATTTTGTTTTATTTTTCATAGAGATTTTTAGAAAGAAATCAGCTAGGCAAAATGGAGAAGGGAACACAGGGAGGGAGTGCAGCAAGGCAGGGTGGGCAGTGTGAGTTTGGGAGGGAGGAAGCTGTGGGAGATGGAGAAGAGCAGCACATCTGGGATCAAGAATGAAGCAGAGCACTGCAATGAAATTATTATCAAAAACGAATGAACACCTGTATTTTTCAGAATTGATAGCATATCATCCTTTTCAGGAGCTGCTTCCTCTGTGTTCTCCCTAAAAACATTCCTTGTGTTTGGAGCTTTGCTGTGTGCTCAGAGAGCATAAGTTGTACTATTTTGTGTAAACTGGTCTTGGTCATCAGTCCTAGACTGGCCAGGACTGTTGGGAGGTTTGTGCAGAAAAGTCCCAAGACTGCTCAGGAAAGCCCTATAATACCTGTTTAATGTGTTTTGTTAATATGCATTATTCTTTATTGCTGCTGAGAAATAGTATAGCTTTAAGAAGAGGCTGCTCCATCAGAAGTGTGTTAAACCGTTCAGTGCCTTGTTTTATTTCAGTCTAAAAGCCCACACCTACAGGGATGCATTGTGTCAGAGTCCCAGCAGTGATTTCATACGTCACGTTTCATCCTTTTTTAATCTTTTGACCAAATTTATGGCCATGGGCTGGAAATTCTTGAAAGTTTTGAAAACTTCTGGAAGTTCAGGCTTCTGCAGCTTCTCCTGTTTAAAGACACTTATTTTAATGTCACAATTGCACAAAAATGAACATTTTGCCTGCTCTTACTTGGATTCTTAGAAAGAGTGCGCTGTTTGAATGTTACACCTTGATTTAAATATCAAATGCACAACAGAGGTATAGCTATAAATGTATTAGATGCTTATCAGCAACTGCTGCTGTACACAACGGTACTTCAGAAGTAGCTGCTTCTACTTGAATTAAAACATCTGCTGTCTTTGATTTGCAATGAGAAACACTGGGATGAAAAATCCATTGATAGATGTGGGGAGGGGGGGTAAAAATTCGTAAATATTTGAAGATTACTGTGGGATTACAAAAGCCTGATTCCTTCTGTAAGGATGTACTGCTGCTTGCTTTATTGTGTTTTTAAAAGTAATGTTTGAATATATTGTTCTACATATTACATCCATATATTAGGACCACCTTGTTTTAACTTCTTTTCCTTCTTGTTCTTCCCAACTCCCTGTTGATATTAGAGATTTTTTATTCCTATTTTCCTCCTCTTCCATAGTTTTAAGTCATCTCTACTATTCTGAGCACTGACAGTGTTCACAGGATAATCTTCTGGTTTGATTTCCTTTTCTACAGGGTGCTGTGCCCAAAGGTAACGCAACAAAAGAGTTCATTGAGAGTTTACAGCTAAAGCCAGGACAGGTGGTTTACAAGTGCCCAAAATGTTGTAGCATCAAACCTGACAGAGCACATCACTGCAGGTAAAGTCTAGACCTCAAGAATTGTCCTGTGTGCTTGAATATTATTAGTGTGAGACTTGAGTGTTTAAATTGGGAGTTTGGCATTCAAATTCTGTTGCCAGGAGTGGCAGATGCATTCAAGCTTCTGTGTAAAAAAAAAAACTCAGGTGTTTTCAGGGACGTTTTCATCTTCAGCAGGCTAGGGCTGCTTCTTGCAAAGTGACAAACAGTTCACATGAGTGCTACTTCACACGTGTAATTGACATTCTATGATTTGTAGTACTGGCTGTCATGGGGAAAAAAAGACTTAAAATGACTTCAAAAGGTTCATTAAACACCAAAAGTCCGTGCAACATAAATGTCTCAAAGGTCAGTGGCCTTTTTACTTTTAAGTCAGACCTATTGTCTATAGATTTAGAAATGATACTTAATTTAAAACTGAAGTTCAGGTAACAGTGTAACAGAAGTTTAGGTAACAGAAGAAAGCAACTGGTAGTGAGATAGGTACGAAAAACAGTGAGCAAAAAAGTAACTGCTTCCTAACATTTCCTTCTGCTTTTAAAACGAGAGAACCTGCTTTCCAGTAATCAGTTAATGAATTTGCACTGGTATCCTTTCCTTATCTACCCCCAAACCACAATGCATACTGAGAGAGCTCGTGTCGTGGTTACTGGATTCAGGCAGAGGTCTTGTGGGGAGGGAAATACACGGATATGACTGAGCTGAACAAACGTGCTCTGCTGTTTGCATTTTTCAGATCTCAGAGCTTTAGTGTGCAAATTTTTTGTCGCTGGCTTTTTGTCATAATCCAGCTCAGGAGTTGGTTTTTCAGTAGGAGCAGTGTGGTTGTTCCGATCACTTATTAATGCCGCTGTAAAATCCCCTCTGACACGTCTTCAATTATGAATGAAGCTTCACAGCTAAAATGCTGTCTGGCTGATGACTCACACTGTAGGCAAATGAAAAAGGCTGTTTGGCAAATCATCTCCACAGTTCTTTTCTCCATTCTTTAAGTTAATTTTATAGATGTTAAAATTTGGAAAACCCATCCACTGCGCATTAATGGTGTTGAGAATCTTCAGCCCAATGTTCCCTGTGGAGATCTGTTCGACTTTCACACCCCAAGTCTGCGCATGTGCATCAGCAGGAGTTGTTGCTAGCTGTGTGCATGAGGGACCATGGTGCTTTTTGATTCACTTGAGTCCCTGGTGCCCAGCAGCGTTCCTTCCAGCATTTGGAAGCTGGGCTGTTGAGGGGAGTGTATTTTAGAGTATGGGCAATTCCTGCTGTTGACCACTTTTGGTCCTTGGTTCTGAGCTTCCTTTTCCACCAGTTAGTTTCACCTGCCTCTTATCCATCTCCTTTTGGTACACAAGCAGAGAATGACAAGTCTCCTTCCAGCCTTAGCTGCCTCCTTTGTGGAGCTCTTTGGTTTAAGTGCTTCAGGCTGTCCCTATTTGGGGAGCTAGGACCTGGCAGCAATTGTAGGGGTTGCTTTAGTGCTCAACCTGCTTCACAGCTGAAGGGAAGTCTGTGTGCTCGCAGAGAAAAACACACAAACTAATTTAGAGTACAGGGAGGCACCCTCCTGCTTTATGCCATCCACCCTTCTCCCTCTGCCTCTTTCCCTCTTTTCCTAGTGAAAGGTTGATGTTTGTCCTGTTGAAGTCTGAAATTTTCAGGCAGATAACTTGTTTTTATGACACAACCTGATTTGAGTACCACATAGCTCAAAAACATTTTTGAGTTGCTTATTCTAGCAAAATGAGGCTTCTGCTGTTGTCTACTGTGTCTGGGACCAGTAGGTAACAGGCTACCTGTGCCTACCTGAGCTCTTGCTCTGGCAGCCTGCCCAGGCAGCCATTCCCTTAGCATTAGGACTGTAGCAGCTCATTCATTGCCAGGCATGGTAAGACTCCTTGGGATTAACTCCTCCTGCTGTGCAGTCAGTGCAGGGCTGTTCAGAGAGAGGCTTTTCTATTATTTATTCATAAGTGCTCATTAGAACATGCTTATGTTTTTATTTGAGGCTCTCTTTAAGTGTTTGGGTATTGTTGTTTATATTAAAGGTCAAAATATTTTTAATCCTGAGAAGAAAAATGAAAACAAAATGAAGCAGCCTTTAATTCTTCCTGTTTCAGATCCGCCAGAAGTGTTCTGGGATAGCTGCTGCTGCTCCCTCTTATGGGGCTATTGTTGTTTGTTTTGGGGTTTCGTGCTTTTTCATATTTGATTTCTGTGCTTGTTTGTGTGATGCAGTATCAGGAGACAGCCTTTCATCTGCTATCATATGAGAAAGCAGCAGAGAGAAAGACCTCTTTTATTATGAGGCTCAGAGCAGTTCCTGACTAATCAGGAGAATGATGTTCAGACAAAGTAGCAGTCTTTTAATTATTTGACTTCAAGCCACAGTGTGCCTGCTGGCAAGAACTTGAATTTTGATTTTGTAAGTGTGGTTTTGTGAAGTACTTTAACATCTAATTGTACCTTGGATGTATACTGTGGTAATGTTTTCCTGACTATCTGCCCTGGCTGTTTTATGCCAGCGTGTGGCTTACCTTGTTTTCAAGAGTGTATTCTCATGTTTGCTTCAGTTTTGTTCTTCACAAGTTCCTGCTAGCAGGTAATGATAACAAATAAGCCTTTACCTTCTATTAGCCTGGTCCAGTGGTTGGTGATCTTGCCTGTGGCAGGGGGGGAATGATCTTTGAGGTCCTTTTTGACTCAGGCCATTCTATGATGATATGATCCTATGATTAATAATTCTGAGAAGTGTTCTTGCTTATCAACCATTTTTCACATCTTTGTGTTGTAGGTGGGATTTTTGGTTAGTTTTTAATCTGTGGATGTTTTCAGAGACTAACTAGATTAAAACTAGACTAACACACAGTTTTTCCATCTGCCTGAATGTACTTTTCAAACTGTATTTTGGCAGAACCTCTGATAACATTATGAGAATGTGTATTGCTTGACATGAATTTTTCACGGTGGTCATTTTGTACTGTGTGGCTGATTTCAGCAGACATAGAAAGAACCAGAAATATTAATGCGTTTTAAATTTACAGAGGTTCCGATTTCACAGAATCATAGAGTGGCCTGGGTTGAAAAGCACCACAATGCTCATCCAGTTCCAACCCCCTGCTATGTGCAGGTCACCAGCCACCAGACCAGGCTGCCCAGAGCCACATCCAGCCTGGCCCTGAATGCCTCCAGGGATGGGGCATCCACAGCCTCCTTGGGCAACTTGTTCCAGTGCCTCACCACCCTAATATGTGTGACACCTTCCCCCTAATATCTAAGCTTAAACCTCCTCTGTCTTAGTTTAAAACCATTCCCCCTTGTCCTATCACTGTCCACACTCATCAACAGTCATACCCATTCCTGTTTATACACTCCTTTCAAATATTAGAAGGCCACAATAAGGTCTCCCCAGAGCCTTCTCTTTCCCAAGCTAAACAATCCCAGTTCCCTCAGCCTTCCCTCACAGGAGAGGTGCTCCAGCCCTCTGATCATCTCAGTGACCCTCTTCTGGACTTGTTCCAAGAGCTCTGCATGTTTCTTGTACTGGGGGCCCAGACCTGGACACAGTACTGCAGATGGGGCTTTACAAGAGCTGAGTAGAGGGGACAATCACCTCCCTCTCCCTGCTGGCCACCCCTCTTTTAATGCAGCCCAGAACACAGTTGGTCTTCTGGGCTGCAAGCGCACACTGCTGGCTCACGTCCAGCTTCTCGTCTACCAGGATCCCCAAGTCCTTTTCCACAGGGCTGTTCTCAAGGGGTTCTTTGCCCAGTGTGTATAACCCCAGGGATTGCCCTGACCCAAGTGCAACAACACCTTGTGCTTGACCTTATTGAACCTCATTACGTTTCACTTCTGGTTCTTTCGTTTCTTTGTGTTCCTAAAATTTCTGTGAAATCTTGTATTCCTGGAATGGAATGTGCTACAAATAAAGTTCTGTCTTCTTTCAGCGTTTGCAAGAGGTGTATTCGGAAAATGGACCATCACTGCCCATGGGTCAATAACTGCGTAGGAGAGAATAACCAGAAGTACTTTGTACTGTTTACAGTAAGTATTTCACATGTGTTGTTTGAAGCTGCCTGGTGTGCAGCCACAAAACATTGCATGTCATTTCTGAAGCAGCTCCAATGCTGGCTTGCTTTTCTTTCCTGTTTCAGAAGAGCTTTTCAGGGAACTCCTGCAGACTCCTGTTTCACTAATTGGGGAACGCACACAATATAGCAATATAGGAAAAGGCAAAACAGAAAGTGTTTGCCCGGGCTTTGTGAAGCTTGCTTTGTCAGGTGATTGGCATGCTGTTTCCCAACTCATGTGGTTTGTTGATTCTTTCGCTCTGCTCTGTGTTTGGTAGAGTTGCGACCCACATATAGGGTACCTAAATGCTGTCCTTGAAGGAGCACCTGTCTGAGATTGCATAATAAGAGATGGTGTCACATCTTAAGCAAGGAGAGGGAAATCTACATCCCCTTTGGAAAGCATTGTTCATGTTCTACTTGCAAGCAGTTTATTTTTGTGCTTGAAAACCGAGGAGATGTTTGACTTTTTGTGCTGTTTTCTGTAGCATAACGTGTAAGAAAGCAGGAGCACAGACTTGAATACTACTTACATGGGAGGGTGCAGATCTGTTTCATCAAAAGGACTGCAAATGTCTTGTGGGAGCAGTGTGAGTGTTGCAAGGCTGCTTGTTAATGATGCCCTATTTTATTAATAAGTCTTTGGAGAAATCTGTAGGTTCAAGGAAGCGTGTTCTCATGTTACCAAGTAGAAAGGGAGAAACTTTGAATTAAGAGGCAAGCCTTGCTCCAAAATTTATTTTCTACAGTGTGGTTTGTTAGGATGTGGGTTACAGAACAAAACCCATTTTTTTTCCCTTGAGCAAGGTTGTTTTCACTGTAAGGGATAAGCAAGATGCTTTAATCATATCAAAAGGATTTCTGTTTCCCTTAAAACTGCCATTACTTTCAAGTGGGCTCTATTAAACAGCCAGTGTAGTTGCAAGAGAAACAAAAGATTTTGTTTATTCTTTTTGTTTTGTTCCTGTTTACTCTCTTTAAGACCTGGGGAGATGAAAGCTTGGCAGCACCTTCCAGCTCCAAGGGGAGGCAAAACGCTCTCCTGTCACCCTTTTCTGCTCCCACAGGGTCACCCTGTAACAAAATGTCCCTCACACCTAGTAGTCTGTAGGTCCAGGAAAGTCATCCTTCTAGCCCTGTCTCTGTAAACTGTAGTGTAGTACTGCCAGTGGTTTGAAGTATTTTGTTGCAAAGCTAAGACAGGATTAAAAAAAAAATGGATTAAGTACGAAGTGTTGAAGGCTGACAGGAATTTTCCATGCCAGTGTCTGCCTCAGGGAAAAACACTTATTTAAGGGAAAGAAATGACATCTGGAAAACAGATTAAGTGCTTCTTGTGGCTAAAACAAATTAGCTGTTGTTTCACTGGTAAACTGTAGTGCTCTCGTGCTTGAGAGCATGGACATGAGCTTTGACAGCATGACACCTGAGTGTCAGAGAGCTGCTGGTATCTGAGAGCTGCACTGTGCTCAGCAGAGGAAGGGTCGCGCTGTCTGGGAGGCCACACTGAGGCGCAGCACACCAGGCTTTGTGTCTGCCTGGCTTCCAACTAAACTTCTTCTTCCCATGCCCTTGGAGCTGTTGGTAAGGCCACACTGAGTTGGGTGTTACCTTAGTGTTCACCACCTTCAGGTTGCTTTATTTGGGGGATGGAGGTTGTTGATTTTTGGTTGTAGGGTTCTTCTAAGTCTGAACACTGTCCTTGATTTTAAGTTGATGAAAGTGAGCGTTCTGGTCTTTGCCTGATGCCTATATTGCATCCTTTTTCTTTTTCTTTTTTTTTTTTTCCAGATGTATATAGCACTGATTTCTCTGCATGCTCTAATTATGGTGGGATTTCACTTCTTGTATTGCTTTGAAGAGGACTGGACAAGTGAGTACTAATGAAGCATCTCATTAAGATATCAGATTAGCGTATGGAAAAGACCTTATAATGCAGTTTGCTTGTAAGACAACCCCTTCTGTATCATCTTTAGGAGAATGTTATCAAAGCTCTGTTATGTGATCTTCAATTTTATTTTTTTAATGATCAATCCTGGAACTTCATAATTTTTTCTGACCTGCCAGGATTTTTGCCCTGAAAAATGTCCTATTCTGTCTTAGTGCTGAAACTGCCTGAGAGGAAGCTGAGACATAAAGACTCCTAGATATTATGTGTGCAGTAAACTACTATTTCCCTAAATGCAGCACTGATTTCCTGAATGCCAAGCAAGATAAGGAGAATGTGTATGCTCTTTTTAAAAGGGTAGCATGAATCATTCTTGCAAGACTGCCAGGAAAACATGTTAACTCAGATCCAAAAATCCACCCTCACGAGAACAAGGAATTCCTTTCCACACACACACACACAAAAATGAACAAGAACCAAAATAAACTGCCAGCCCTTGTTCTGGAGCAACAAATGAACAAGTTTTCCCATAAGCATTTGAGATATGTTTTTAAAAAGTGTGAGTATGGGAAATCCTCTAGATAATACTGAGTTAATGAGACAGGTGCCACAAGTTGTGTGTGCAGCTTGTGCCTTTTCTTGGAAGGGCATTACCTTCTTTTCTCTTAGAATTCCCTTTTCTTAAAACATGTCATTGTGCTTAAGGACTGGTTTTATTAGCTTATAATAATGTGGAGGATGGGTGCACTCACTTATGAACTGAATTTGACAAGGTTGTTGTGCAGTTCAGAACTTTGCCAACCAGCTGCTAAATGCCACTGAGAACATCTGGATTTGACTATGGTGGCAAGGACCATGAAGGAAGGATACATCAAAGGAAAGTTCCCTTTCTCCAAGCCTGTGTCTGTGGGGGAAGCAGTTTCCCATCTGTCCCAGGTTTTGGCAGCAGAAGAGGAAGTTTACAAGAGGTGGATCTGTTGTTCCAGCTGCCTTACATTTTTGCTGGTTGTGCCTGATTATTGCTTATCTCTCGAAGCTTCACATCTGCTCATGGGAGAAATACTCATCTTTTCTTACTATTTTTGTGACGATGCCGTGTGCGTACTGCACGTGGCATCTGTTGAGAGCAATGCAGTGATTGCCAATACTAATATTTCAACCTACCTGACAGCATCTCAGAAGAAAACAGAACCCAGAAAAAGAAAAATCACGGATGAAGGAAGTGTGCTCAACAAAAAAATGGACAGATGGGTGCTTGTTTTTCAAGGCAAATAACGTGGCACTCTGCTTAATTTGTAAAGAAGTGGTGATAGTTTTCAAAGATTACAATTGGGAAAACATTACCTGCAAAAACATGCTGCCAAATTTGATGCGTATCAGGGAACACTTTGTGAAGACAGTGGAACCAAAAAAGAATTCTGTCATCTCAACAAAATCTTTATAAGGTTAAAAACTCAAATGGACTCTGTTATAAGAGCTAGTCACGTGGTGGCAAAATAAATCTGAACTATTTACTGATGGTGTGCTTATTAAGCAGTGCTTGGAAAGTGTGGCAGCTATAATGTGGTATAGCTACTGATGGTGCCCCAGCAACGGCTGGTAAAAAAGGGGGATTTATTAAATTAATAGAAGGTGGTGCAGCTGCCACCAGCAAATCACGCTTGATGAAATATCACCGCATCATACAGCCAAGAAAACATGTGTGCAAAAGCTTTGAAAATGGATAATGTCATGCAAATCATCATCTAAGCTGAGAATTGCATTAAAGTCCAATGGATTGAATCCTCACCAGTTCCAGGAGTTCCTTAAAAGAATGGATGCAATTAGGAGGACATCATTTACTTTTTTGAAGGAAGGTGGCTAAGTCAGGACAAAGTGCTGAAAAGATGCTATGATTTGCGATATGAAATCATTTGTGGAATGAAATTTGTGCCAGAACTTGAAAATGAAAAATGGCTCACAGATTTAACAGTTTTTGGTGGATCTGATCGCTCATTTAAATGAGTTAAATGTGTGTCTTCATGGTGAAAATCAGCTTATCTTTTCTGTTTCAACCATGACAGCATTTGCAATGAAACAAATTATGGCAAGCTCAAGTGATGGCAAATGGCCTCATGCATTTTGATGTGTTGGCTAAACACAGGCCTGTGAACAGCGAAAAATATGCATCTCTGCTTTCTGGTTTGATGAAGGAATTTGGGAATAGGTTTCAAGATTTCCAAAAGAATCATCATTTTTTTTTGTTTATTTCTGACTCCATTTTCAGTTGACACAAATACATTACCTGCACATTTTCAAATGGAACGTATAGAGTTGCAGTCAGACATTCGCGTCAAAGAAAATTCAGTCTTGTTTTGTTACTGGATTTTTATAAGGTCTGCCTTAACAGAGAAAAATATCCTGTGCTTCACAATCATACCTTATTCACATCATTGCTTTTTGGCAGTATGTGCACTTGTGAACAGTTGTTTTCAAGGATGAATCACAGGAAGAATAGCATTTCATTGAAAATCACTGACGAGCACCTGGAGATCTCACTAACAATTGCAGCCACTTCCATTGAACATTGCACTGATGCATCAGTTTCATAAAAACAGGGCCAAGCATCTCATTAGTTTTATGGTTTTGCTCCTCTCTGCTTTTTACATTTTAATAAAAAATATATTAAAAACATAAGTTTTGTTACTTTATTATGTATTTTACATTTGGCCCAAGACAATTCCCCTTCACTCAGTGCAGCCCTGGCAAGCCAAAAGGTTTGACACCCATGCTGTAAGTGAAAGAGAGTAGAATGGGTTCCTGAGTAGCAGGCTGGGAAAACATCTCACTGAAAAAGGTGAGATGCTGCTTAACACAGAAAAACCCTGTGGTGCTTTCTTGTTGCCTTGTTGAACTTGTAGGAGTGACTGCTTCATTGTTGTGCATCCTCAAGAAGTCTGAGCTTCCCCATGCACCTTTTTGAGTATGATCACCGTGCAGTTCATTCTGAAAACTCATGGCCTAGTGGGTGTTTTGCTGCTGCATTACCTGATCTCTCCCCTTCCAACTGTGTTGTTTTGTCTTCACAGAATGCAGCTCCTTCTCTCCACCAACCACAGTGATCCTTCTCATCCTCTTGTGTTTTGAGGCGCTCCTCTTTCTCATCTTCACCTCGGTTATGTTTGGGACCCAAGTACACTCCATCTGCACTGACGAAACGGTGGGTGTTCCACACCCTCTTTTCTTTACCTTGTCTCTCACCGTTCATAGAAAGAGTTACGGGGTTTTGCCTCGTTGCATGGGGAATTCATGTGTACCCTTTGAGGAAAAATCCACTGTGACCAGCTGAATCAGCACAGTGCTAAATTGTCCTCTGAAAGTCACTGTGAGGAGTGGTGTCCACCGACGTAATTATTGGCTGGGATGTTGTGGGATCAGACGTTACCCTGGGTAAGGTAAGGCGTTGGTATTGGGGTTTACTCTGTACAGATTCAAGAACTGTAGATTCAGGAATATTTTTCCTTTAATGAAGTGCTGCTACGCTGGTGTTTCAGATTTTTGTTGTGTCACAACATGCAGCTTTGCATGCTAGAAAATTTTCAGTTTTGCTTGTTAATCTGTTCAAAATCCATTCTCAAGGAGTGGGGAGGGAAAGCAGGGGAAATTTGAGACATTCCTGGAAATGGAATACAGTCCAATAGTGGCGGGTACAGTCTGCTGCAAAGCTACCAAGTTTGAATACATCATAGTAGAGGTGACGCAGTAATGTTGCTGCCCTGGTGTTGCTGCACTTGCTGCTTCTGTAACGGTGGAGCTGGTGCCTCCTGGTGATACTCCCACAAGTGAATGCTGCTGGCTTTCACCAAGCATGCTCAGAGATACGATAGCTCACATCAAAGGACTGGAATTAACTGGAGTGACTGAAGAGAAATTACAGTCTTAAAAGAGGGACCAGAGTACCCTGCCTCCTTTAGTTGTCCTTATCCTTCGCTTTACTCGTGGCCAGTTGAAGCTAGAATAAATATGTTGGCTGCCGTTGGAGAGCTGTGACTGTCATTGCAGTGTGTAAGAACCCATCGCTCCTGAGCCTTCTTTACAGTGCATGTTTTTCTGCCTGGCTTCTGCAAAAGGCTGATGTTCACACTGTGGCTCTTCTGTGCTCAGAGGAGGGCTGCAGCTGTTCGTCCTGCCAGGGCAACCTCTGCGATAGGGTACAGTGTCATATGGAACCAGATCCTGTCTAAGTTAAATCAATAAGTGTGTAAATTAGCAATGCTCTCTGTGAAACCATCACCCAAATTTCTCAGTCCTTGAAACCTGGCAGGAGTTTTAGAAGCTGCTTCCCATAGTCAGGTACACAAATAAGTCTCCTTCATTTCCTATCCCCTTGAATTCTGGAAGCTCTTGTGAAAGGACTTAAGCCACAGACTAAAACTAAAGATATGGACACTCCCTGTTTGGTTGTGGGGGTTTGCTTTTGATTTATGTTTTGTGTTTTTTTAATACTCAGCAGTAAAGACTTTGCTCTTTGGAGGCCTCTGTGTTGTCTGTTAATTTTGCTAGCTTTGAGCTAGCTGGGTCTTGCAAACAATCTGTTTTGAGTGCAGGATGTTGCCAGGTGAAATTCTACCTGATACGGCCCCTTTCAGAATTCTTTGTCACATTCTAGAGACAGGACTGTGTCGTGACCTTTCTCACCTTCTTCCAATCCCCAGGAGACCTCCTTCTCTGCCCTGTGCATGCTGGCCCCCTGGGATGCTTCCTCTCTGCCTGGAGGCACCCAGATCCCCAGTATTGTGCCGTTACCTCTGGAGGTGACATTCTCAGGGGTCACTGCAGCTCTTGCAGTTGGCTGAGCTTTTTCTGCAGAGCACCCAGAACTGGTAACTTGAGACACACAGATGTATTACAGTGCATTAATCTATAGCACAGGAGAGATGTGAAGGTCAGGAGAAGCTTACCTTGCAAAAGATCATAAGTTAAAAATCATAACAATCTGCCAGCCAGCACTACCCCTGGAAAAATAATGCTCTCCAGTGACTGCACCAGTTAATTGTGCTTCTGTGGCAGTGTGTTCAGTCAGTCATAGCTTTCCTGGAAGACCCAATTCGTGTTTATTGTACAGCACAAATTTGAGTTTGTGGGGTTTTTCGGTTTTGGTTTAAAAGGGACTGACCAGTGAGTGTTCCAGCTGATTGCTTGATGGCTTATTTTTATTTTCCCTCTAACCTGTACTAAACAATGCTAATGATTTCTCTCCAATTGGTATCTTATACAATCTTTTCTCCCTGCTGTCGGCCCATGCATGTTTTGGCAGTGATGTAGTGAAACATGAAGAGGCAGACTTAGCTACATGGAGCCATGGGTGAATCTGAACTTCCTGAACTTGCTTGGTGAATCTTGGAGCATTATAGAGATTATCTCATTGGGTTTTTTTGTCTGCAAACCTATGATTGTTTCCTCTGATTTTTTCTTCCCCATCTGGTTAGCACGTAATGCTTTCAGCCATTAAAGTATGTGCTTTGTATTTGGTTTTATGTGGTGGGTTTTTTAAATTGAACAATACAGACAATTGGAGGTCAGGTCTTAAAAGGTTTGATGAAATTTCCAGGCCTGAACAAAATTAAAACAGTTCTATTTTGGAGAAACATTTTCTATCTTCTTATTAGTAGCACTATTAGTAGTAGTATAAAGCAATGGAAAGAGGAGAGGCTCTAAAGATGCGTTTTAATGTTCTTACTCCATCCTTTGGATAAGGGGTAACTGAGAATAGACCTTTCCACAAACCCAGAGCGACAAAACCTGAGCGTTTGACTGAAAATGTGATATTTCTGTTTTCAGGGAATAGAGCAATTGAAAAAGGAAGAGAGAAGATGGGCTAAAAAAACAAAATGGATGAACATGAAAGCAGTATTTGGCCATCCGTTCTCTATAGCATGGCTTAGCCCATTCGCAACACCAGACCAAGGAAAAGCAGACCCATACCAGTATGTGGTCTGAGGAATTCTTGACCAGCATTTCCACTAAGATAGAAACATATTGCAGCACTACTGTTTAAATTTTCCATGAATGTTTAAAACGAAAAGCAAGACAAACTTTTTTTTATGTCTAATGAATGGCTGATAATTGCAGAGAAAAAAAAGCCCTGTATTCCACAACTTCAGATAATTCTATATCTCTGGCTGAAACTGCTGCTGTTGCTTTTCTTTCTTTCTTTCTTCTTCTTTTTTTTTTTTTCTTAATCATGTTAACTTTACTGGCCTTTGTTTCTCTCTGCTTTCTGTATGGCATAACTAATGTGAAGGGAGTTTTCCTTCTCCGTTGTGACCCACCTCTTCTGAGTAGGTTTTCATGCTGTCTGCTGACTGTGCTGAGCTCTGTGGAAGACATATGAGTGCCAAGTCCTACACAGACACCTTTGGACTTCCTGAAGGAGCGCGCTGCTCTTTCAGAAGTGAACTTGAACTGGGAAGTAGACCCTTCACTTTACCGAAAGGCACAAGATGAGAACGCAGGAAGAGAGCCAGTTGACCTGGTGATTGCACGCAGTTCAAGTATCTAAAGCAAACATTGCCAACGCTGCTTCCCCCTCGTTTTTCCTTCCACCTACAAAATCGGTTTCATCTTTCTGGCATCATTTTGTCTGTTCCCTCCCTGGTGCGCAGGAAATTGTTGCCATCTTAGGGTAACTGTGTTGCAGATTTAGAAGACTTTGTGGATTTTTAACATGCCTTACATTTGCAGAAAAGAAAGAGAAAGAATCTGATTTTCAAATGCTTAGAATGGGAGCAGCATCGTGTTGGCTTGTGTTTGTCTCCGTAAATGAGCTGTTGGAGCAATACCTGTTAAATAGCTTTGAAAAACTGATGGGAATGCCTGGAGGCAGATGGATAAAGACTGACCTTGGTGGGGTGTGTCGTTATGCCAGGGAGATCCGTCCTACATTCTTAGCATCGCCCTGGTGTGGAGCTTTGTGAATCTTTTACTGTGGATGTGCACACCTGTGTGCAAACGCACACCGTGTGTATGTATGTTAAAGCTGGGAACTGGTGGTGGTAAGGAGCATGTGTACTTCATGGACTGTGTGGTGATGAAAGGGGAGGGACAGAAGGCATTCCAGAAACAGGTAAGGCCAAACCATTCATAACTGTGACCGATGCCTTGTGTTCAGGCAGAAATTTTGCTATATTTTGGATCATTACTCCTATAGACTTATCAGAATATTGCGAACAAAGGAAAAACTACTCATCAGCTGTGTCCAGGAATTCCAAGGAATCTTTTCTTTCCTTGGTTTAAATAAAAGCCGTATTTTTTGGAAGATGATGTGTTTAGACTGCTTCAAAGCCATGGGGGGATGGAGGGAAATCAGGGAAGGAGAAGTTTAGCGGATGTCTCATTTTGGAAGTAATGTGAATGCTGCATCTTTTCAATCTGTCAATGCTTCCATATGGAAAACAAATGCAATAAAACTTTTCCAAAAAAATTCTTTGCTGTTCTTAATTTCTTGAAACTTTGGGAAAATCTGTAACAGCTTCCTGAGCTTGGTCTGAGCAGGATTGGCTTTTGTCACCCAGATAGGTAATGAATGAATGCACCTCACCATGTAATTAATTGCTGAATTGCACGTTCTGGTTTTGTTTTATGTCCTGTTATTCACTACGCATTTTGAAGGAAGGTTGCTTGCATTGTTCTGGCATTTAGATCATTGTGGAGAAAACAAAAATGTAATTACTCATTTCTGGTTTCAAACAAACACAAAGTGTTGTATTACCCAGTATTGTATTTTTCAGGCAAGCTTTCTGATGTTCGGAGCCGGCAGGGATGTCTGTCTGTTGGTGCCTGGTGTGCCTCTCTAACTGGTGTTCTCTGGTTTATTTGCACTGTGCATCTCAGAGTGTGAATTGCTGCAATGTGGCTCAGCACCAACACGAGGAAGGCAGGCTTGCTGCACCGCCTGATTTCAAGTGCTGGTTCTGCTTTGGTGCAACTGACAGAAATGGGAGCACAGATGTGGAGAGAAGTTACGGTGTTTGAAGTTCTGCTTGTGTCTTCCTTTTGGATTTTACAAGCGTATGAAAAGAACCAAATGCCTTCCTTCTGAGCTGTGAGGGCGGTCTGCAGGTCACTGCTCCTGAGCCAGAGCCCCCAGCACCCTGTATGGCACGGCACAGAAACGGGTGCTGAGGGAGATGGGGCAAGGAGCCAATTACACAGAGCTGCTGGTAAAACAGAAGTTCCTGACTGCTGATTCTTTTCTCACTCGGCTCTATTTATCTGTGCTTGCACATCACAAAGTAAACTTATTTATCTGGGAACCTTTCTTTATCTTTCCCTCCCTTTCTGTAACCTTCCTCACGCCCTGCTGACTGTGGCAGCCAGGCAGAATGTGAACAGGAGCTGATTTTGAACAGTTTTGTCTATTTTGAATATGTGCCCAGGAAGCATAAATAAGGCTGGGGATGGAGAGGAGAGGGAGAGCCCTGCCCTGCCTGCTGTGCTGAGCTGCCCTTAGCACAGCTTCGAGCCGACCTCACGTAGTGCCATGGTTGGCAGATGCTGTTCTGAGTGATGGGTGGTGGTTCGGAAAGATGGGGCTTGCTGCTTTGAAATCTTCACAAGCCTTATCCCCCATTTTAGCAGTGTGGATTGAACTGGGTGACACAACCAATTGCCCAAGGAAGCTGTGGTGCCTTATCCCTGGAGGCACTCAAGGCCGGGTTGGATGGCACAACCTGATCCAGTGGGTGGCATCCCTGCCCATGGCATGGGGTTGGCACTGGGTGGGCTTTAAGGTCCCTTCCAACCCAAAACATTTTATGACTCTGTGACCGAAGACAGGGTTAGAGCTGGCATGACCAGGGAGGCTTTCCATGCTTGGTGCTTTTTCTCCCCAGTGTTAGCGCAGAAGCAAGCTGCTGCTTGTTAATTATGTAATATCACATTAATGATGAGGCTCACTAGGTGTGCAGTTGTGGTGCCACAGAGGTCATTCACATGTCATTGTTTTCCCCTTGCAAAGCTCTGAGATGATTTGTGGGTACTTAGAGAACACCTCCAGAATCAGAACGGAGGGCTGGTTTGTGTCATGCTATTCTAAAGCCGCTGTTTTAAATGGTTTGAACTGAACTTGCTCATTTTTCCTCTCCTTGAACATCTCCAATCTCCAGTCCCGTGTCTTCACTTCTCGAGGAGCAGCGTTTCTGCACTGTCACCTTTGTCACTGTCGCTCTCATCTGCAAAGCTGACTCCATCTCGTGTGTAACACAGAAGGTGGGCATGAAGATGTGTGCCTGACTTCATGTAGGAGTGAAAACAAGTGCTCCAAGTTTCTACATAGAGAAGACTTCCAGACCTGAGCACTGACAGTCAACCTGTGTCCTTACTGGTGGCTGTGGGAAGAGGATGGTTGGAGCTGACCCAGTGCTCCTTTGCACTGGGGTTGGCCTTGGACAATTTGTGAAGCAGAAATAGCGTTCCTCAATATTTGCTCTTAATTGGTGCCAAACATGCGTGTTCTCATACTGATTTTCATTACCAGGCAACATCTGTCTGTAGTAATTCCAGTGACTGGGAAATATGGCAGTTTTCTTGTAGCTGAACCATTGTAAAGAAAAAAAGCCCAAATAAGGTGAAATTTCAGGTTGTGATTGTATTTTGTTACTTGTTGGAAGGACTCTAAAAGCACTGGGAGAAGAGGTCTCAGTTTGAAAGAGGGATGACCTTCCAGAAGCCTTATTACCAAGCAGTACCAAATAATTCGCCAAGGTTGGGGCTGTCCGTGAGCTGAGTCGTGTTTTGGAGATTTGATGTTACTGGGGATGAATTTGTTGGTACAGCAGGATTTCTGCCTGTCTGTCCATCTCAGTAGCTGAGCTGTGAGCACCATGATGCAGCTCAAATACCTGTTTTGAACGTGAAACGACTCCAAACTCTCCTCTTCTTGCAGGGCATTGAGCGCCTTAAGAAGCAGAAGCCGACCTGGGAGCGGACCAGAGGCTGGGAGGGGATGAAGGCGGCCTTCGGCGGTACCCCGTCCCTGTCCTGGCTCAACCCCTTCTCCAACATGGACTGCAGGCACCCACCACCAGCCCCTGCCGTGCCCGCGGCCGCCACCATGACGCAGGAGGAGATCGAGCAGTTCCTGGCTCGGGAGGTGAACATCCAAGTGCCCCATGAGTAGCAGAGCATCAGCCCAGGGGCCAAGGGACGCGTCCAGGCGGTGTGTTATTTTATTAACTGCTTGTGGTGGAGAAGCAGGGTGGGTTTTCTTGTCTTTTTTTTTTTTTTAATTGTACTTCGGGTGCTTCTGGTGCAGAATATAATTCAGGACTATTCATGGGGAAGTCGGGTCCAGCACCAGCAGAAGCAATGCAAATCTCCAGAGCAAGTTTAACCCAAAGTGAGAGCCACACGGCCTTTGCAGCTGTGTCCTGCCTTACCGAGCTGCTCTTGTGTGGCCTTCGGGGAGAGACCCAGGTGTGGGGCTGGAGCCGTGGGGCCTCGTGTCCTCATGGCACTGGCTGGATGAGTGTTGCCTCTCGTCCTGCCAGTGCCTGCATTCAGAGGTGATGCTCCAGGCATCAGCACTCTGACAACCAAGATCTAGACTGGTTTTGGGCTGGTTTTGCCTTGTTGTCATCTCCCCCACCTTACTGACCAGTGACACCTCACCTGGGCAACGTGCTCCTGGATTCTCACCCCCAGTTGTGCAGCTTTGAGGCCCTGTAACATGCAGCAAAGATAATTATCGCCTTGGGAAAGAGAGATGAAGGAGTTGGGGCGTAAATCGAGGTATTGTGGAAGACCTGGATTAACTTTCAGTTATTTATGAAAGCCCAAATTCCACTGGGTATTGCAAGGGTTTTTTTTTCCTCATGGCAGTGATAAAGGAGTTTAAACATGAAGTAACAAACAGTCTGGTGGGATGGAAGCTAGGAGTACAGTGGGGCCAGAATCCAGGAAAACAAGGGGAGATGTTTTGAACCATAGTGACCCCTTTGTTTCTCCTCTTTTTCTATGAAAAAATAGATTTTGGGGGGAAAAAAATGCATAAGGATCTGTGTGTTTATCTAAATGTCTTGGTAAAGGGAAACGTGCTGTACCTTGGGGAAACTGAGGTATCGTCTTGCTGTAGTGCACAAAGCAGAGCGGTGTGGGAATTTGAGGCTGTCTCACTTCTGCACCAGCCTTCATGTCTGCACGGCAGGGTCTGCATCACAGGGACACTGGGGACACATGTGAATCTGTACAGGGAGAAGTGGGGATGCATAAGGTGGAAGCTGGGAGCTGCTGATTTCAGTTAACTCTCCCACCTGTGGGTGGAGGTGGGGTTGCAGGGCCCCACAGGAAGACCAGCCGTGGAAGAGCAGCATTTGATGTAATGTGACAGCTGTATCCACAGTGCTGATTGCTGGGCTGATCTCCTTCCACTTCCTGCATTGCTCCTCAGCAGTGTGGGTTTGTGTGCTGTTTCAATAGCTGGAACTAGAAAGCTCTATGAAAGGAGGACTCCTCTCTGCCCGCTCCATGCTGCCACATTTTTGCCCATCAAAGGTGCAGGAGCTGGAAGAATGTTGGCATCAGGAAATCAGAGTGTTCCCTCACTCCTTTGTACCCTCCTGCTCCGCCTTGGTACAGCATGGCAAAAGCCTGAAGCAGCAGAAGTCCTCATGAGTTGGAGTGATCTGCTTCATTCCAAGCCCTGGCATCCACCTTGTAGTGTAACTCCCACCAGGTAGCTTGAGACCAAAGTTATTTCCATGGAATTGAAACCAGCCCCCTTCCCCTCCCTGTGGCATCGTGCCTTCACCTCCAGCCCAGGCTGGGCTCCATCAGCACTGCAGCATGGGGCTTCAATCCATGATGGACGGGATCACAGTGGCCATGTGCAGCATTCATGGTCTTTTAAAGCAGGCTTTCTATGCAAGTAAAGAACCTGTATCTCTTGGAAATATATATATTTTGGTAATCATAACTCTGGTTTATGCCTCCGGATGCTAATTATACTTATTAAAGAATTAATATTTCCATGCTGCAGTTTGTGCTCCTCCGTTCCCTGTGCTCCACTCTGCCCTGGGCAGTCTGACCGAGTGCTTGGTTAGCAAACCTGCCCATGGGAAGGGGGTAGAGTTAAGTGATCTTTGAAGCCCCTTCCAAACCAAATCCTTCTATGACTTTATATCCGTCTATGGCAGGGGGTTAGACCTGAGTGGTCCCATCCCATACAACCCAAACCATTCTGTGATTCATATAGTAAAATCAGGCTGCAGGGGACTTAACACTCAGTGTTAACCCCCTGCCATGGACAGGACTGCCACCCAGGGCCACCAAGGGCCCATCCAACCTGGCCTTGAGTGCCTCCAGGGATGGGGCACCACAGCTTCTCTGGGCAACCAGAGCCAGATAAGGGGTGATGTTCTTCCAGGAGAGTGCTGGAATGATGGTGGTACTTTGAAAACATACACCCCCACCCAAAATAATACTAAGGAAGGGTGCAAGAGGGGAGGAAGATACATGAAAAATGCTGTTTGGGGAGACTGTGCCAGGTTTGCCCCTTTTGCTACCTAAAGCAAATCACAGAGTGCCAGCATATTTGCCAGCGGGGAGAGAGAGGAAAGGACATGGGGAATTGTTTAAAATGTGTCTTGAGCTCCAATGCAGTGGGGTCTGGGCAGCCTCATGAGACTGCAGAGGCTGCAAAACAGCCCCTGCCTCAGCACGAACATCAGTCACACAGTGAATTTGTCGATTTTAACGCTCTTTATTGAAGCACAGTCAGCTACAATCAAAGCAGCTGTGGCCTTTACACCAGTGTAATTCCCTTTGCTTAATGGGATTGTAGTTCTTTGCTCATCAAGCCCTATTCCACAGTCAAGGAGAGGAGTGGTGGCAGTGACCTGCAGCTGTCACATGTTCAGGGTCCCCTTCTGTCCACTGCCGTGGTGCTGTTCCTAGTGGGTGACCGTGATGCCCTTCTCCACCGAAATGTCTTTGACCTGGTTGGAGGTCAGCCTGGCCACGATCTTCTTCTCTCCTACTCTTGTTGGAGTGCATATGACTTCAGACTTAATAATCCTGCCCGGCTGTATATCCCTAGGGAGAAAGGAAAACAGTCCCAGCATGAGCTCCTTGCACATCACCGGTCTCATCTGCCTGTTTGTCATAGTTTTGCTTAAAGAAAAAGCCATTGCATGTATTTAGCACGGTTATGCCCTTCTGCAACCAAATTGCAGCAAGCAGGGTTTGGTACCCCATGTAGTACCCCCCAGGCCCTGTCTTGAGCATGTATGTCGAAGAGCTGCACCGCTCACTGTCTCCTACCACTTCCTCAAGGAGAATTAACAGACAAGGAAAGGATGTTATTCCATGCCCAGAGCTCTGGGGCTCAGGGTTGCTCAAAACCTTGTCTTACCCTTCATCAAACGTTGCCATCTTAAATATGCCCAAGCCCTCCACCATCAGCTTGCAGTTGTCCATGGGGATGTTCAGCTTGTTCTTGAAGATGAAGGCGCAGGTGAAGTCCTTGTTCAGCTGTGCCGTTTCTGGCATCTGGAAAGTGAAGCAAACATAAACACGGGGCATCAGAGAGCTGATAGAGGTGCTGGAAGTGCTGCCAAGGGGAAATGTTTCCTTCAGTCCCCCCATCTAATTTTGGGACTCTTGCATGGAGACCCCTAGCCCCAGCCAAGCCTGGAGGGGTGCAGCCTCACCTGGACCTGGATGGGGGGGTACGCGAAGCTCAGAGACACCTCCTTGGTGAGCTTCTCAGGTGTCCCCTGGATTTCAGCGATGGCAGTGACATGGACGTGCTCTTCATCATCCACTGTGGCCAGTGCCTTCATGTAATCATCGGGCATGATCTTCAGCGGGACACGCGCCTCTGTGGGACGGAAAGCGTGACCTGGCTCTTTAGCACATCAGTGGCAGAAGCAGCACTGGTGGCAGTGCCAAGTGATGCTGGCGGGATGCGGGGTGAAGCATATTTGCTGAGGCCATCCTGCCCTGCATACCCATCTCCCCCCCGTGCAACTGCTGGCTCAGAAAGCACTAGAAGCAAAGATATAGATGTATATTTTTGGGAAGGTGACTCATGCTTGGAATGAGCAAATACTGTTAAGTATTCATCGCTCGTTAGTGTGTTGTTTGGCACACTGCAGTCGTGCTGCTGGGGATCGGCAGTGTTGAGCCTAGGTTGCTCAAAGATACGGAGCAAGCAGCAGATAGCCCTGGGGGTAAATAGCCTATAAAACATATCACAGTTTCCATGCCTACCAGATTGGCCTTCCACCTTGACAGTCTGCTTGATATATCCAAGATTGGCATGGACTTTCCCAGTGTAGGACTGCAGCTGGCAGGAGCTGGCAAGGTCGACAGTCCAGCTCCCGGCCACAGTGCTCTTCACGGTGATGACCACCTCAATGGGATTACCAGGACACAGAGGCTTTTCGTTGGTTATCTCCAGCTGGACCCCAGACTTGGGGACCACCTCATTTTGGACCATGTTTTTCTCTCCCGCATTTCTTAGGCTCACATCCTTGGGGACTGCAGCAAAGTGTGAACGAGGTGTCATCCCTGAGGGCTGCAGGTAAGAGACGGCTCTCTTCATGGATGCTCTTTCCTCTGAAGAGCCTGATGAAGGAAAAAATCTGCCTCAGACCTGTATCTCAGCGCTCTCACCCAGAGCCACCTCCCTGCCCTTTATTTGTCCTTCTGCTGCTGAGCAGAAGGTGTCAGGGCACCGACTGCCTCAGCCTCAGCTCACGAGAGCCCTGTGGTCTGTGCTACCGCTGGGAGCGGGGCCTGCCTTTTGACTCTGCTTTGGAGGATGAAGGCAGTCACCTTCAGGGAACTTGTACTCCCAAGTGATGTCCTCCCGCCTGTTCTGCCCCACAGCCTTGGTGCTGATGTTGGCGCCGACGCTCCGGCTCTCCACGCCCAGCTTGGTGTACTGGTTCCTGCCGTTCTCCTCCGTGACGCGCCAGTAGACCTTGTCGGCGTTCACTTCCGCGTACACAAACTTGCTGTCATAGGGCAAATACACGTCTCCATCTTTGACAGCCTTCACTGGGCACGGGCCACACTGGAAAATACCTGTAAAGCACATTCAATGCTATTTGCTGTGCCAAACATGACACACACATAATGCATTTAAACATTCATGCACCCACAGTGCCCTGCAGGGTTGGCTTCCAGCCTGCCAAGAAACACAATTCCCTGCTTCCTGGGCTCAGACCGCAGGAGTGAGATGGCTGGCCTCAGGAGCTCACAGCTGGCTGGAGACCACAGCTCCATACAAAACATCCCTGCCTCCCTTGGGAGTTGCAGAAGAGCCCTTCCAGGTAAATCCTACCTAGACTTTGCTCCTGAGGGGTCGCGTCGATTGCCTGCCAGCCATCAAACCCTGATGGCAGGTCCTTCCGCTTCATCCAGACATCATTCCACACGTGGAAGTTCCTGTGTACATTCAGGTTGGAAAGAAAGGGAGTGAGGTGTTGTAGGTAAGAGTGGTGAGCTCCTCTGCTTAGCTCCTTCAAGGGCAGCTTTAATAGGGGATTTGCGTGCAGCCCTGTGAGATCCTAGGCTGTCTCTCTCTCCCCAGCAGCAAACTTGAAGCAAAGGGAAACTCTCAAAGAAAAGCCTGCCGGGGCTGGGGAATGCAGAGTCACAGGGATTAGAGATGGTTAACCCTACCAGACAGAGTCAGAGGACAACCATTTCATCTTTTCTCCTTTCTCGTTCAGATAGACATCAACCCTCAGGTTCTCATCGGTGTCATGCGCCGAGTTGAAGTTGCTCACACTGCGGGCTGGGATCCCCAAGCAGCGCATGACTGCAACACAAACAGAACACAGGGTTATAAAACCACCGGTGGGCACCACTGGGGTCACCTGGTCCAAACCCTGTTAAAACAGCAACACCCAGAGCAGGAGGCCAGGCCTGCGTGCAAGTGGGTTTTGGAAATCCCCAAAGAGGAGACCCCATGGCCTCTGGGCAGCCTGTGCCAGCACTCAGTCACCCACACAGCACAGAGTGCTGCCCGGTGTTCAGAGGGAGCTCCTGCGCTCCACACTGTGCCCACGGCCTCTTGTTCCAGTGCTGGGCACTGCTGAACAGAGCTTGGCTCTCAGTGCATCACTCTCTCCCATTTGGTATTTATACACATGGATAAGACCCCTTAGCCTTCGCTACAGCAGACCCAGCTCCCTCAGCCTCTCCTCACATACAGGTGCCTCAAGCCTTTAATGAAAACACCAGGATCAAAGGGCATGCAGAAGTTTCCCTGGATTACTAGCCCAGTAATTAGGATACCAGATAGAGAAACAAGATTTTGCCCCTTACCTGTAGTGAGGACTCCTGAGAAGACCCAACATTGACCATAACAGACAGGCTTCTTCGTTTTGTAATACTGCTGCAAAATTGCAACGCTCCCAATCCATGCCATGGGGGAAGTCCCGTTCTCGTACTTCCCTGACCAGTTTCCCATCACGACACCATTGTCATCGTTGGCATTCACCTGTGTCCATGCACACACAGAGGAGACAACTTCAGGAATGAGGCCCACATCTTCCCAAGGTGCTCCACAGCTCTACAAGGCTGCTGGCACCAGCTGGGGCTTCCCTGCCTGGAACCCTCTGCCTGGCTGTCTTCAAGCATCCTAGTCCCCACTGCTCCCAGCAAGCCTCCCAGTGCAACCAGCAGCTGCCCCTGAAGCACGACATTGGGTCTGGCCACCAGCTTCCTAATAAAGGACAACTGCTGGGTCAGCGGCACATTTTGGAAACGGAGAGATGCTGCATTTCTCCTGCCTCTTCCTTCCACCCAAAATGCCTCCCTAGCTCTTCTCCTGCAGTTTTGTATTCATTCTAATCCCCAGGGAAATAAAAGCAAGTAAGAAGCAGGAAGGAAAGCTGGAGGGGCAAACCAGTCCTCTGAGAGTGCCGTACCAAAGCAGACATGGCTCTGGACACAACCACGGGATCCCTTCTACTGCTCATCTTGAGCTTGCTTTTGTCCAGCAGGTACATGCAGGCATC